TGTCTTGATCGTTGCCGTACGCCACCTAGCTGCTCCTTGACGTCGTCAGGGCGTAAAGGGTCCGGATGCAGGGCTGCAGGGGTGAAGTGCAGAGACGAGGGGTGTGCGTGCGGGTGAGCGTGGCCGTACATGCTGGGGGTGCCAAGGGGTGTTTGACCACGGGTACCTGGAGGGAGAAGCAAACGATTTTAAAAATGCGATCGTTCTGCCTCCCTGCTCTTAGTGGAGTGTAAGTGCCTGGATAATCCATTAAAGCGTGGGTGGTTAGCTCTGGGGCTGTCGAAAAGAAACCTCAGACGTAAGTAAAATCCTTCTGCTTCCATAGTAAGAAATTGGAAGGGGATCCACCAACGGGCTTTCATCACGTATTTTTGCTGTCTTTATACCTAAAGGTCGTAGCTCACAGAATTATCAGGAGGCTTGGGCAGCAGTTGCCAAAACAATTTTACCTTATGTGCTAAAAATCACCAAACATTCGTGTAAGCTGCTGCTCTCAAGCAATGTCAACTCTTTATTTCAAAAGCATTTTGGTTGGCATTTCTTGGTTCCAAATCTTTTCTCCTAATGATGTGCTGTTTTGTATGTTTTTCCCTTCTGTCTAGCAAACTCCTGAGTGCCAACATCCGTTTTCTAGCTCACCACATCTCTACTGTTTTACTTAAATTAACAACAAACTTGGTGACATAATCCAAGAGAAAAGGACTGGAGTTACAAAACGAAGCTTGCTGTATGTTAATGGTTACTTAGAGGAAGAGGTATTTCAATTTTAGTAGTGTGTAGGTGCATAAGAGAGCTGAGGACACTTCAGCAGATTGAAAAGATGGGTACACTGATTCTTTCCTGATCAAACACTGTTCTAGAAAAAGAAGGAAAATCATGTCTTTCAGAATTGTTTGAGATGTTCCTTGCTGGACTCCAAAACTCCCAAGAATAACAGATTAAAAAAGACAGGATTCAGCAAATTTTTGGAGCATAAAGAGTAAACAAAAATCCATGAGTGAACTGGAAAATAAAATGGTGAAGTTTTTTACTTTTGTCAGGGAGCAAGGATTTGAAAAACAGTGGATGATAAAGAGAACAAGTCAGAATAAAGGGATTTTGGTTCAGAACTGAAAGCAAGCAGCACTGGAACAGCAGATGACGTGCAAAGAGAATCCTCCACTGTACATTTTGCGTACGCAGCCATAAACGCTGCATGATCAACACCTGCATAGGATGTCATATGGTAAGGTGTTTGGAAGCAATTTAGATAATTTGGAAACGGTTATTTCTGTCACTTTCCTGTGTAACTAAGTAATAGCAGTAAAGAGGAGGGAAGCAAGTTGTGAAATCCCATCCTCATGATACAGCTGGCAATGATGGGATTGTATTAGGATCAGCTATTTTAAATCAAACAGCATTCTATATGTACAGCTAGATATGTATTGGCTACTCTTACAAGGCCCACAGCCTGCCTGATGTCAGTTCCTCTTCCTTCTCTGTTTATATTTTTGCAATGCAGTGCCCAAACATTTAATCTGTCCCATGATTCTACATCCCCAGAATCGGCCATCAGGTTGGCCTCGCTCATACTGAGGTGGGCCAAAGCCCCCAGTCTAAGCAAAACAGGTGGAGCCCCTGCACTTCAGGCTTCAGGAGGAGGTTCCTTAGAAGAAGGAAGAGGGAACTGGCTGGGAACAGTATGCCAATGGGAAGAAAATGGGGCACAGAAAAGCCCCGAGAGAGGAGAGTGTGTCATCCTTGTGGAAAGACAGTAGGAGCACGTGATTCCACACGAGGGAGAACATCATGGAAATGAAAGAAAAAGGCGAGGTGTAGCGTTCATAGCAAAGTCTGTGATGTGCATCCATCTAATGTATCTAATGTAAAGTGAGATAATGCTAAGTACTGGCTTTGAAGAAAGCAAAGAATTGAGGGTGCTACCACGGCCCCCATGAAAGTCAAGGAAATAGAGGACCCAAGAATAAGAAGAAGATGGATGAGGAAAATGCAGGCCTCTCAGAAGCGAAAGCATTAAGAAATACCACCGTTTGGGAAACTGACGAGAGTAAGAGGAAAATGGACCAAGTCTTCATAAAGGTCCTGGGACTTCACGTGGCCTGTGAGAAGGTGAGAGAATCTGTAGCAGTAAAGGAGAATAAAAGGCACACGAACTCCCATTAGCTGCCAAGTAAAATGCCATTGACACTAAAAAGTACACTTTGAAGAAAAAAAAAAAGGAACAATATTCATGTTAACCTCTTAATTAAATGATTTCTGACATACCACAACTTAAAACATTAACACGGTAGAGTCTGGGTGTCTTTGGTGAACAAAATGAAAATGTAGTACATTAAGTAAAAGTAATCAATAAATTACTCTAATTCTAGCTAAGGCTGTTTTCCATAGAATGTTAACAAAAATTTTTTTCCTCACAAAGTGTGGAGGGAGGAGCTGTGGAGGGTTTCGGTGTCCTGTCAAAAGACACGAA